AATTGTATCTAAATTATTATATTAGACATAATATATTATTATATCTAAATTATTGTATTAGATATAATTAAAATAACTTGATATCTATTTGGAAACAAACATAACCTTGAGGTAAAATTAAAAGTACAGGAAGAGGTCCAGGTGAACATTTAGTTAAGAAAAAAGGTAGACTTTTAAACTAGTAGTAATAAAGTGAGTTATTGAATAAAAAGAGTTAGGTCAACTGTCCACTGGAAACAATAAAATAAAATAAAACATATCACCACATTGCATATTGAAATTGTTTTCTGATTGTTAAATATATAAATATTAATACACATACATTTTAAGATAAAATGCCAGAAAATATGTATATAATTCTAGAGAGGGGGAAATAATTTTCTAATGATAAAACTAAAGATATAAACTGTGGTGGTAAATATTGATATATTTGATAGGTAGTATTCAAAAAATTGTTTTATGGCAAAAACAACTTCCACAGGTTTAAGAGTACTTTGAAATTGAAGGAAATATTTGAAGGGTATACAACATTCAATTGAATAATGTATTTACTATAGGACTGTGAAAAAATGACAAAAGGTGGGCAAAGGCATTAAAATGTAATTTTCCAAAGAACTGTATATAATACAGGAAAATTATTCGCTCTCACCATCAGCCAAAGGAATGCTAATAAAAACAATTATTAATCTTGACAAAGATTAATAAGGATTTTTAGGCTGCAGGAAAACTGCCACACTTATGTAGTAGAGAGTGTGTGAATAAAATTTATCATTATTTTTTGAGTCTACAATTTAACTTCTCAGAAATTACCAGTAGCAATAGCAATAGCCACTGTTGTATTTGTTATTGTATTCACTGATTTTACCTGGAATACAATGAACCCTTTCATCCTCCATACACTGGAGTCTCCATTTTGGAACAGTCATTTTTATTTTACTTTTTTTTTTCACTTTTTTTTAATCAATATTTTTTATTATGATGTTGTGGGGTACAGTTAAGAGTTAGGTATACAATTACGTTTCATTCAGGCACCCTGTTTATTTTACTTGTTTTTTATTCTTTTTTTCTGGGACACTAGTGATCAGTTTGTTGGCTTTTCGTATTTTGCCCTTTCCAAATATGATTTCCTTATTTTTTTTTTTTTTTTTGAGTTGGAGTCTCACCGTCGCCCAGACTGGAGTGCCGTGGCCACTCCCGGCTACCGCAGCCTCGACCTGCTGGGACTCTGGCGATCCTTCTGCCTCAGCCTTCCGAGTAGCCGAATTACAGGCGCGCGCTACCATGCCCGGCTAATTTTTTGATTTATTGTAGAGATGAGGTCTCGCCTGCCCAGGCGGGTCTCGAACCCGCAGGCTCAGGCAATCCACTCACCTCAGCCTCCCAAAGGCACGGGATTACAGGCTGAGCCACAGAGTCCGGCTCCTTATAATTTTCTTTTAACCATTTTTTCTATGTATTGTAGGAGAATTTCTCAAGTACATTCTCTAATTTAAGCTAATTCAAATTACTGTATCCCAATTCTACTCTTGGTTATATCCAGTATGTACTTTCATTCTATTGCATTTTTTTAGTATTATAGTTCTACAGAAGTGTTTACATTGCAATGACGGGATAAACAACGTGCTAGGTGGCTTACAGACATTATTACATATCTTCACATATGCTCGTTCTCTGAAGTTTCCAGATGTTGTTTCCTTTTTAATGCAATATTTTAAACATTTCATGCTAGTATTTTTTTCTTTATACACTCCCTAGTGCAAAGCAAGATCTTTTCAGTCATAGACAGATGATATATGATAGAGAGAGAGAGAGAGAAAGAGAGACAGAGAGAGAGATTATGTGTATATGTGTGTAGAGAGGGCTTCCTCGTGCTTTCTACCCAATAAACATAATTAGGTGGAGTGCAATTTCTTGCCCAATTCCCAGTTTTCAGCAGCCTATGCTTCACTAAGACACTACCCATGCAACCAGCATTATCTAGTTCTTAGTCATTTTGAAATCAGAGGAAATTATAAACAAACATTCCTGAAATATGCTATTTTACTTCTGCCTCCTCTTCTGCTGACATAGACGCATGTGGGCAAATATTTATTTCAAAATTAGTGGGTCTCTACCAATGATACTACCTGTACTTTATTTTTGGCTATTTTTCTTGAGTTGAGATGCCTGGTACAAAGACAAAGTCCTAGGTCACCCTATAGTTAAACATCCTATAAAAATAAATGCCTGGTTTCCAACTTGTTATGTTGGTACATACTCTGGGTTTTTTTAGTTTAGACTATGGAGATGTATTGAGTGTTATCCTGTATCATGACTCAATCCATCTCCATATTCTTTAGTTTAGAGGAGTTATTATTCTCAGAAAAATTCTGGATTTACAATAATCATCAGTTCTAGCATTAGAGCTTCTTGTGTTTGTTTTTTTTATATTTATCTGTATTGAAAAGTTAATAAAAAGTTGGGACTGTTTTGGATAGTGCTAGTTTAAGCAACTTTAAAGTGAAAATCTCCTCTAAGTCTTAAAAAAAAAAACCCTGACAGCAATATGGCTTAATGAACTAGAAAGAGTTGCAATAAAAACAGAAATTGATGATCAACAGATAGGAGGTGAGATCATATGAACACTTCTGATTGGGCAACTTGCTATATGGAACGACCATAGAGTTATTAGTAGAAATGGGGAAAATTGAATATACAAGCCGTGGTTCTGTAAAGAAGACTGACTTCACATGCAGCCATATTGTGTTTGAGCTTACTCTGAGATATTTAAGTGAGGTAATTAAAGCATTAGATATATAGATCTAAAATTCAGGAGATAAGCTGAAAAAAATAAAAGCTTTAAAGTGGAAAAATGAATAAATAAAAAACATTGCTCATGAATAGCCTATATAGAAATAGACAATATGTTTTGAAAGTAAACAAATGAATTTTCATCTACACTCATAAATAAACTACATAGTAAATTAGATGATAAAAATTGCACAAAAGGGACATGATTAGTGAACATAATCTTGAATGGATTGCAAAAACTAAAAATCATAAAATGTTTAAAATATGTTTTCTGTTTTAAACAATAGCTTCAGTTTTACAATAGATGTGCCATTTCCAATGGATTAATTTGGATTGCAGCATTGAATATTGTTTTAAGTATTTACTATTTGCTAAAAATACCTCAGTAATTTATTACTTATCATACAATACATGCACAATCTTGAAATAAATGTGTTTCAACTCTGAACCACAGAAATTCTAGATCATTAGAGAGTTGCAAACATAGATATCTATCCCATATAAAGAAATATATTAATATCAATTGAAGTCAAATTATATCATAATTATTATAGTTATCATTATTGTTAGACAATATAGTATAGTTGTTAATAGCACAGGCTGTAGAATCTTTTTTCCCCTGATTTCCAACATCATTTCTTCTTCTTTTTTTTTTTTTTTTTTGAGTTGGACTCTCACTCTGTCACCCAGATTGGAGTGCAGTAGCCACTGCAGCCTCGACTTGCTGGGTTCCGGAGATCCTTCTGCCTCAGCTTTCCAAGTCGCTGGAACTACAGGCACGCGCTACCATGCCCCGCTAGTTTTTGAATTATTGTAGAGATGAGGTCTCGCCAAGTTGCCCAGGCGGGTCTCGAACCCATGGGCTCAGGCAATCCACTCACCTCAGCCTCCCAAAGCACGGGATTACAGGCTGAGCCACTGAGCCCTGCTTGAAAGAATACTTTCAAGGTGACTGAAGCTAAAACGTTTAAGAATAAATACACAATTTTTAATAAATAAATTCCAGTTTTGAGGGGGTCCTTCCTTGTACCTCTTTCGCTGGTTTTTCACAAGGTTCAAATGAAATAAAGTATTAGTATTAATCAAATAAATTAAAGTATTTTGAAAAATGTATGAAAATAACCATACTATTAGTATAATTTTATATATCTGAGTAATCCTGTAAGTAAAATATCAAAGGCCAGATTAAGGACCAGGGCATATATGTTACAAAACAAGCATATTATTTGCCTCATTGATTTTTGTCACAACAGAGGTAAGTTTCATAATCTTAAAAAGTGCAGTGTTTATTATTTTAGTGTTAGTATTTTATTTGCAAACTAAGAAGAATGTTAAGCTTCAGTTTTATAGGTGAGGCATATCTCCTCTAGTAAACATATAATGAGGCAGGATACAATAGCATTATCTAGGATGACTTCTTAAGTAAATTTAGTTCCTGAGAGGAAATGTGTCCTTGCTTACTTAAGGAGGTAAATTAAACTCAGAATCTAAATTTAATAATTCTGAAATTCAAACAAAAATTAGTCAATTACTTTTCTAGACCAAAACCTAATCATAGTTAGATAAAATATTTCATTAAAAAACCAGACAAATCTAAATTGATAAACATATATTGGATATTTATTATGAGCAAGCAATTCTACTATGCAAAATTTAGTTAAAAATACTCCTTATTCTCATAAGACCATATTAATAAATATAAATTTATAATCCGGTTGAAGGATATAAAATTTAATCAAAATGATGGATAAGTGTCCAAGGTGGTGTGGTAAATATCAAATAAATCTATCTAAATAAACCTAAATTAAAACGAAATTAATTAACTGACATAGGTCAGTGTTGAATCTCACAGACAAAATATTTAGCAAAAGAAGCCAGAAACAAATAGTGTATAATGCATAATTCTATTTATATCAAGATCAAGAATGGGGAGAGTCATTATGGTAATAAATATCAGAATAATGGTTACTATTGGCGAGGACATTGATGAAGTTGAGACATTAGGAAACATTCTGAGTTGCTGACAATGTTCTATGAATTGATTTTGAATGCAATTACATGGGTATTTATAACTGTCAGATTTCATTGCGCTGTACTCTAAAGTGCTATGCACTTTTCTGATTATATATTAAATTTTAATTAAAATAATTTTAAAACTCTAAATTTAGAAAGTCAAGATTCTACAAGATTATTTTGCTCCCACAGACCATATGCCAATCTGCCAGAACTCCACTTTCCCTACTTTCCTCCTGACGGGGGTCCCTGGACTTGAATGGGCCCATGCCTGGATCTCCATCCCCTTCTGCTGCCTCTATTTAACCGCCCTTTCTGGGAATGCCTTGATCCTATTCGTAGTCCTCACTGAGCCCAGTCTCCACGAGCCCATGTACTACTTCCTCTCCATGTTGTCCACCACTGACATTGGTTTATGCATCTCTACTCTGGTGACAGTGCTCAGAATATTATGGTTCAATGCCCGGGAGATCAGCTTCAATGCTTGTTTATCGCAGATGTTCTTCATTCACCTCTTCACTTTCATGGAATCTTCAGTGCTTCTGGCTATGGCCTTTGATCGTTTTGTGGCCATCTCTAACCCCTTGAGATACGCTACCATTCTAACTCATACAAGAATCGCACAGATCGGTTTGGCAGTCATTATCCGGGGAGCGGCCATTTTGACACCACTGGTCCTTCTTCTTAAGCGTCTGTCCTTCTGCCACAGCCATGTGCTCCGCCATTCTTACTGCTTCCACCCTGATGTGATGAAACTCTCCTGTTCAGACACAAAGATCAATAGTGCATTTGGACTAACCGCAATCATCTCTACTGCTGGGGTGGACTCCATCTTCATCCTGCTCTCCTATGTCCTGATCATTCGATCAGTTCTCAGCATTGCATCCCCAGAGGAGAGGAAGAAGGCCTTTAGTACCTGCCTTTCTCATGTTACTGCTGTGGCCATATTTTACATCCCTTTGATCAGCCTGTCTTTTGTTCACAGATTTGGAAAACATGCTCCACCCTATGTGCCCACTCTCATTGCTAATGTGTACTTGCTGATCCCCCCTGTGATGAATCCGGTCATCTACAGTGTGAAAACAAAGCAGATTCAGAAAGCTGTGCTCAAACATGTATGCTCCAAGGGAACTCATACTTAACAACTACGACTCCTAGAAAGACATATTTCAATCAGGAAAATGTACCACAAATTGGAGTTATGACCTCATGCAATTTTAGAGTTGAGTGGATCTAGATGCTATCCAATTAAAATATCTTCACAATGTGGTTATCCTTCTTAAGGCAATTTTATCTTTTAGACCACCAAAATACTAATTCGGATTCTCAATACCTCTCAGCTACCTTATTCCAATAGACGGTTAACTGACCTACTGTTCCTATGCTGTTCCTGCTCAGAGACACTTTATTCTCTTTGAAATATTTTTCCAAATATCCAACTCTAATGAAATGTAAAAACAAATAAACATAATTTCATGTTTATTTCTCATACAGTAACCACATGAAGCAGCAATTCCTGTCTATGGTAAAGTCCTCTACAATTTGGGCTTAACTTTCTTTTCAAGTTTCATCTACATTTTTCTCTTTCCACATACTTTGCAGACTAAGCAAGTCAGTCAAATAACTACTGCCTCAAATGTATGCAGTATTTAATGGTGGGCTTCACTTCAACCTCGATGTTTACTTTTCCACCTTGAAATTCTACTTATGTTTCAAGACTCATCTTTAAATATATTCTTTATTAATTTTTCCATGATTGCTCAGATAATACATGATCTGTTTATCCATACTTTGCCTTTCATATTGTTTTGCTTGTTTCTGCTTTGACTTTATGTGTATTGAGTGTGTTCCTGTGTGTATATATTATTTATTGTTGTTTTCACAGGTCTATACATTTCCTTAAAAACTTGATTTTATTTGACTCCTCTACAATACCTGTCAGAATATCTTTCACATAGTAGATACTCATTGATAGCTGTTAAACTGAATTATACATAAAATACTATAAAATTGTCTATCTGAACAATTCCAGTGAAAACTTATTCAATATTTAACATGAGCAACATAAGAAAGTTTTCTTGGGGACTTCTGGCAAGATGGTGATGAAACAGGTCAGACTGTGAGAGTTTCAACAAAAGCAAGTACCCATAAACACTCTGCGTGAATGGGTATGTGCCAGTGGGTGAGTGAAAGTCTGTCTCAGGGGAGACTTCATGCACTCAGGGTTGTCTTCTAGAGGTAACTGACCCCCCCCCCCCCCACTGCCCTGAGATTGGAACCACCAGCATGCTGGATCATCTGTTGTTCTCCTGAGTAGAAGAAGTGGAAAACAGCCGATCTTCATCAGCTGGCACCTGGCCCACACCATCATCTGTGTCAGCAGAGCACTATAAGCCCAGGATCCATGGAGAGAGAAGATTGAGGAGAGCTGGAGAGGAGCCCCACCACCAGTGAGGAAATGCTGGCTGCAGCCACTTTCTGCATTGCCCTACCCAGCTACACCCAACCTCCAACTTGGGACCTAGAGGTAATCTCATCAAACTTGGAGAGACGGTATCTATCCCCCATGCTGGATCAGACATAGACACATCAGATCTGAGTGGGAGACTTGACAGGCAGCAAGCCGGGTGAGTTCAGAACTGATTCACCCTCATCCTGCAGTAGGCCTGGGTCATCTGACCCAGGCTGAGAACAACCCTATAAGCCAGCACTGAAAGCAGAGAGGAGGGGCTAGAGATCAGACCTGAAAGGAAGTTGAACTTACAAGAATGAACTCAGAGCAAGTTTTGTTGATGTTATTGTTTTGTTTGTCTGTTTGTTTTGCTCGTTTTTCTGTTTTTTTGTTTGTTTGTTTTTTGTTTTTTCTCTTCTCTCTTTCTGTTTTTTATTACATTTTCATACATGCTTTGTGTCTGTTATTTCATTGCTGTTCCTTTTAAACTTTGTGTTTATGCATAGATATTTTTTGAGTGAGTGTACATAAATGGGGGGTTTGTCGGGTTGTGTGTTTATAAGATTATCTATATGTTTTTGTGGTTTTTTAAATCTTTTCTGTCTTTGTTTGTGTTTCTTTTCATTTGTTAGCTGGTATGCCTGTCTGTTTTCCCTCTTCTTCTTCTCTCTCCTCCTTCCTCTCATCCCCCTTTTTCCTTTCTTTTGTTTTCCATTCTTTTCCTTTTTCTTATCTCACTTTGCTCTCATACCCTCACTGCATGGACAGATCGTAAGGCAGTGGAATGTGCATTCCAGGAGGCCCACACACCAATCAGTGGATATGGGGATCTGCAGATAGTTTCTGAATCATAGCTCCCCCTCAATTAAATCTCAAAACTGCAGAAAGTACAACCTACCCACCAACAGTCCAGCTCCAGAACTGAAGAAAGCCAGGAGAATCACATAGGGAATAAGAGATTGAGCAAACAGAAGTAAAAGCTACCCCATCCCTGAACAATAGAATTAAAGAAGAGGTTAAAAGGGGGGATCTACACTGTCCACAGGATAATTGGTCTCAAACCACAAATCCAGATATGAAGACATGAATAGAGATAATAAATAGAATTGAGGAGAGATAAGAGGAAAGAATGAAGGAGTTGATAACTGAGATAACAGCAATAAAGAGCACAGAGAATGAAATAAATAACAAATGATAAGCATGGAAAGCAGAATTAACCAAGCAGAAGAAAGAATCTCAGAGCTTGAGAACCAAAATACAGAACTAAGCCAAACCATTAAAAACATAGAAAAGAAACTTAAAAAGATAGAACAAAACCTCTGAGAGATGAGCAATTATTTCAAGAGGTCAAACCTAAGATTAATTGGAATTCCTTTTGCAGATAGAGAGACAGAGACCACCCTAGAACAAACATTCCATGAAATTATCCAAGAAAACTTCCCTCATCTCATCAGTGATGTGACCAATCAAACACAAGAGATTCAGAGAACCTCTGCAAGAAAAAATATGAGAACACCAACTACTAGACACATACTAATTTGCTTACACAAAGTAGGTATACAAGAAAAAATTCTAAAAGCAGTAAAAGAAAAAGATCAGACTACCTACTGGGGAAGACCAATTAGAATATCAGCAGACTTATCTACAGAAACACTTCAGGCTAGGAAAGCATGGAGCCCGATATTCAAAGTTCTCAAAGATAAACAATTATAACCAAGAATTACCTACCCAACTAAGTTAAGCTTCATCAGTGATGGAGAATTAAAGTCCTTCCCTAAGATTCAATCCCTAAGAGCTTATGCTGCCTCCAGACCAACTCTACAAGAAACACTTAAGAAAGTATTACACACAGAAGAAAGGAAAAAAAGAACGACAATGCCCTTCCCAAGAATGCAGGAAAGAAATTAAAAACATGCAAGAATAAAGCCAAAAATCAAAAGACAGGCAACAAACAACAAACAGCAGCAACAACAACAAACTCTATAAGAATATCATGACAGGGATAAAACCTCACAACCCAATAATTAATCAATATGAATGGAATAAATGCACCACTGAAAAGACATAGAATGGCAAAATGGATAAAATATCATGAGGCAACAATACATTGTCTCCAAGTGACTCATCTCACCAGAAAGGACACACACAGACTCAAGGTCAAAGGATGGGAAGCAAAATTTCAGACAAAAGGAGTCATGATCTTAATATGAGACAAAATACATTTTAAGCTATCAAAAATTTTAAAAGGCATGGAGGTCACTATATAATGATGAAAGTTTCAATCCATCAACAATAAATATCCATCCTAAACAAATATGCACCCAACATATGAGCACCAACTTTCATAAAGCAGCTTTTAGGTAAGCTTATAATATATATTGACTCTAACACTATCATAGCTGGGGACTTAAATACCCCACTCACAACTCTAGGCAGATCATCCAGACAAAAAATCAATAAGGAGATCCAGAACCTCAATGTGACACTTGACCAAATGGACTTAATTGATACCTAAAGAACGCTTGACCCAAGAAGCATGGAATATACATTCTGCTCATCACCATATGGAAGGTCCTCTTAAACTGACCACATCCTCAGCCATAAATCAAGAATAAACAAATTCTATATGATTGAAATTCTGCCATGCATTTTCTCAGACCACAGGGGAATAAAAATAAATATCAACACCAACAACATTCCCCCAGGACCCACAAAGACATGGACACTAAATAGAATGATTCTAAACAACTCTTGGATCAACATGGAAATCAAACAGAGATTAAAAGTTACCTGTAAACAAATGAAAATAGGGCTCGACTTCCAGCAAGATGGTGACGGGGCAACCTGGTCTTTGAACCCTTCTGCAAAGGAGAACTACAGTGGGTCTCTGGCTCTCACCCCAGGGACTGCAGACCCCAAAATCACAGCCTGCTCTTCATACGGAACTCGGCCGTTGCCACCGCTGGGGCATCGCAGCGGACTGGACAGCCACTGCAGGGCAGATGCCACTGCCGCAGCCGCTGCAGCTACTGCAGCCACCGCCAGTAGCGCATCGCACCACCCAGAACAGAGGTGATCCACGACTTCAGATCTTGAAGCCCCTTCAGGGAAGATCTGCTGGGATCACTGCCACCTCTCTGCGACCAAGACATGCTGTACGCCGTGAGTCTCCTGCCTGTGCCCTGAGGCAGGCATTCATCTCCAGTCTCACGGGTTCCTGTCTGGCCCCACCCGCTCTGGGGCGAGGAACTGAGATAGCACCACCTGCTGGCAATTCAAGGTAACAACACCAAAACAGGAGAAACAAGCTTGAAAAGGACATAGGCCAGAGTGGTGAACGGAGGGTGATTTGAACTGTCCTTCACAGCAGACCAGGGGCAACTGACCCCAACTGCAAACTAATTTACCTGCTTGAAAAGAAAGCTAGAATCAGAACTGAAAGGACATTGGACTTAAACGAAGAGTCTCAGAGTGTGCTTCATTGATTCTGTTAGTTTAAGATTTAATTCTATTCCTACTGTTTGTTCCTTTTTTTCCTCCCTTTTCATTTTCTTCTCTTTTCTTCTCTCTGTAAACCATATCTTTGTATAGAGGAACAGCACACCAGTAAGGTGGTGGGTTAGCTTGTATGTTAGCATCACTATATGTTTTATTTTTTTTCGTATGGGAGTTGGTTCATCAGTAGCTGTGGTCCATTGTTTTTATCTGTTTCAGTATATGTCTCGCTCTCCATTTGTTGGCACACGTTTGTTTCCCCCCTTACTCCTCTATCTTCTCCACCACCCTCTTCAACCCACTGTCTGCTCCATTTTCATCCCTCTGCTAACCACATTTTATTTCAGGGAGTAAACCTACAGCCCCAATGCACAGACAGATTCCAAGGCAGTGGGAAGTGGGTTCCAGATTATCCACACACCTGTCAGCTAATACCAGGACCTGCAGATTGATTTTGAATCACAGCTCCCCCCTTAAGTAAATCTCAAAACTGCAAAAAGGACCACCCCCAACCTACAGTGCAATTCTAGAATTGAACAAAGTAAGAAGGCATACATAAAGAATAGGAGATTGAACAAACAGAAGTAAAACCAATCCCTTTACCCCTGAATAACATAATTAAAGAAGACGGTGATGTGGAGGGAAGCAAAAAGTAGGGGAGGGGGAAAAACTGCACAAATGAATAAAAACCAAAAGAATATAGGTCTCACATAGACCCATGGGAAATCACACACTGAGAAAACAGATTCTGGAACACAAACAATGAAGAGCCCCCAGAATGACTGGTCACATGCAACAAACCCAAACATCAAGACATTAATGGAGAGAATTTTAAAAATTGAGGAGAGACAAGAGGAAAATAGGAAGGAGCTGATGTCAGGAATAGCAGCATTAAAGAATACTGTGATGGAAATGAATAACAGACGAATAAGCATGGAAAGCAGAATCAGCCAAGCAGAAGAAAGAATCTAAGAACTTGAAGACCAAAGTACAGAACTAACCCAAACTGTCAAAAGCATAGAAAAGAAACTCAAAAGACAGAAAAAAACCTACAAGAGATGAATGATCACTTCAAGAGACCAAACCTAAGAGTAATTGGGCTTCCTGAGGCAGAGAGAGAAAAAGAAGCCAAACATTTCATGAAATCACTCAAGAAAACTTCCCCTATCTCATTAAGGATGAAAAAATTCAAACACAAGAGATTCAGAGAACCCCTGCAAGACAAAAAATGAGAAGACCAACTCCCAGACATATAATAATTTGCCTAAACAAAGTAGCTATAAAAGAAAAAAATCCTAAAGGCAGCAAGAGAAAAAGGCCAGACTACCTACCAGGGAAGACCAATTAGAATAGCAGCAGATTTATCCACAGAAAACCTTCAGGCTAGGAGAGCCTGGAGCCCTATTTTCAAAGTTCTAAAAAATAAACAATTTCAACCAAGAACAGCATATGCAACCAAACTAAACCTTCATTAGTGAGGGAGAATTGAAATCTTTTCCAGATATCCAATCCCTATGAACCTACGCTGCCACCAGACCACCTCTACAAGAAACACTTAAGAAAGTACTGAACACAGAAGAAAAAGAAAAAAGAACAACATTCTTCACAAGAGTACAGGCAAAAGATTAAAAACACACATGAGCCAACTGCAGAACCCAAGGAAAGACAACAAACAAACAGGAACAACTCTGTAAGAACCTTATGACAGGGATCAACTCTTGCATTTCAATTATTAACCTAAATGTGAATGGACTAAATGCACCACTGAAAAGACATAGAATGGCAAAATGGATAGAATATCATCAGGCAACAATCTATTGCCTTCAAGAGACTCACCTCACTAGAAAGGACACCCACAGACTCAAAGTAAGAGGATGGGAAACAAACTTTCAAGCGAATGGAATACAAAAGAAAGGAGGAGTAGTGATCTTAATTTCAGACAAAATACCCTTCAAGCTACTAAAAATCAAAAAAGATACAGAAGGCCACTACATAATGGTGAAAAGCTCAATCCATCAACAAGAAATATCTATCCTAAACATATATGCACCCAACATAGGTGCACCAACTTTCATAAAGCAACTTCTAGGAAAACTAAAGAAAGATATTGACTCTAACACCATCATAACTGGGGACTTTAATACACCACTCACAACCCTAGACAGACCATCAGGACAAAAAATCAGCACGGAGATTCGGAGCCTCAATGTGACTTTGGACCAAATGGACTTAATTGATACACACAGAACACTCCATCCAAAGACCACAGAATATACATGCTACTCGTCACCACATGGAACGTATTCTAAGATCGACCACATAATTGAACATAAATCAAACTTAAGCAAATTTAAAAGGATTGAAATTCTACCATGCACCTTCTTGGACCACATTGGAATAAAAATAAACATTGACTCCAGCAAGGTCCCCCCAAAACCCACAAAGACATGGACACTAAATAGCATGATGCTAAACAACTCCTGGGTCAATGATGAAATCAAAACAGAGATCAAAAGATACCTGGAAGCAAATGAAAATGAAGAAACATCTTACCAAAATCTCTGGTACGCCTTAAAGGCTGTAATAAGAGGGAAATTTATATCCCTACAAACACACATGAAGAAAATGGAAGGAACAGAAATTCACAACCTAACAATCCACCTAAAGAAACTGGAAAAGCAAGACCACAAAAACCCTAATTTCAGCAGAAGAATCCAGATCACCAAAATAAAAGCCCATATCCAGGACATAGAAGACAAAAAGATAATACAAAAAAATCAATGAAACAAAAAGCTGGTTCTTCTAAAGGATAAACAAGATCGATGGTTCCCTAGCTAGACTGACCAAGAAAAAAACGAGAAAAAAATCAAATAAGCACAATCAGAAACACAAAAGATGAAGTCACATCTGACCCTGAAGAAATACAAAAGAGCATTAGAGACTACTATGTACACTTGTATGGAAACAAACTTGAAAACCTTAAGGAAATGGAGGACTTTCTGACATCACACAACCTACCTAGATTGGAGCAAGAAGAAATTGAGACCCTAAATAGACCAATAACAATCAAGGAAATCAACTACATAATAAGAAAACCTCCTACAAAAAAAAGCCCTGGTCCAGATGGCTTTCCAGCAGAATGCTACAAGACATTTAAGGAGGAGCTGATACCAATCCTACTGAAGGTATTCCAGGCTATTGAAAAAGATGGAACTCTCCCCAAATCATTTTACAAAGCCAACATCACATTGATACCCAAGCCAGGTAAAGACCCAACAAAGAAAGAGAACTACAGGCCAATATCTTTGATGAACATAGATGATAAAATTCTCAACAAGATCTTAGCGGACCAGATTCAACAACACATCTCAAAAATCATACATCATGACCAAGTAGGCTTCATTCCTGGGATGCCAGGCTGGTTCAACATTCATAAAACCATAAATGTAATTAAATATGTCAACAGATGTCAAAACAAAAACCACATGATTATATCATTAGATGTAGAAAAAGTTTTTGATAAAATCCAGCACCCCTTTTTGATAAAAAACCCTTGAACATCTAGGCATACGGGGAACATACCTCAAAATAGTAAAAGCCATCTATGAGAAACCCACAGCCAGCATACTCATAAATGAACAAAAACTGGAACCATTTCCCCTGAAAACTGGAACAAGACAAGGATACCCACTCTCACCCCTCCTGTTCAATATAGTATTGGAAGTCCTAGCTCGAGCAATCAGAGAAGAGGAGGCAATCAGAGGTATCCAAATAGGAAAAGAGGAAGTCAAGTTATCTCTCTTTGCAGATGATATGATTGTGTACCTTGAAAACCCAAAAGAATCTGTCAAAAACCTCCTTACACTGATAAAGGCCTTTGGCAACAATTCAGGATACAAAATAAATGTACAAAAGACAATCGCATTTCTCTACACCAATAATAAACAAACAGAAACCCAAATCAAAAACACAATTCCATTCACAATAGCCACAAAAAAATGAAATACCTTAGCATCTTCCTAACCAGAGATGTGAAAGACCTTTACAATGAAAATTGCAAAACACTGTTCAAAGAAATCAAAGATGACACAAACAAGTGGAAAAATATCCCATACTCATGGATTGGAAGAATCAACATTGTGAAGATGTTCATCTTACCTAAGGCAATCTACAAATTCAATGCAATAACCATCAAATTACCAGCAACATTCTTCTCAGACCTAGAAAAAACAACACAGGATTTTATATGGAAACACAAATGTCCAAGAATAGCCAGAAAAAATCCTCAGCAAAAAAACAAAAAAACAAGGCAGGTGGTATTACACTACCAGACTTCAAACTTTACTATAAGGCTACAATCATCAAAAGAGCTTGGTATTGGTATAGGAACAGGCATATAGATCAATGGAATAGAATTGAGATTCCAGAAGCAAAACCTCAATTTCTCAACCAACTCATCTTCAACAAAGCCCCCACCACCTACCACTGAGGAGAGGAGAACCTATTCAGTAAATGGTGCTGGGAAAACTGGCTGACCACATGCAGAAGATTGAAACAGGACCCCTATCTATCCCCATGCACAAAGGTTAATTCCAAATGGTTCAGAGACCTAAATGGAAAACCTCAAACCATAAGAACCTTAGAAAATGAAGGAAAAACCCTCATGGAAATCAGAACTGGCATCCAATTCCTGAACAAACCCAAAACCCACAGCTCATAAGAGAGAAAATAGATAAGTGGGACCTTATTAAACTGACAAGCTTCTGCAAAGCCAAAGAAACCATCAAGA